CCGCCTCGGGGACCCTAGCCCCGGTCACGGGTCGCCGTCTATCCGGAGCTAGCGGGACGCCCAGACCGGTGTGTGCTTTAAACCTGCAGCTTTGTTCATACCTGCTGCAGTGCATTCTGGGGGCACTGACCCCAAACATCCACATTCGTCACATCTCCTCGTGTTAATATCCACATCTGAGATGTTTGTCGTGTTAGCATTCAGATTTGTCAGTGTGTCAGAATCTGCGTTTTGGACTCGGGTGGTAGCACTCAGGGTGCTGACAGGGTTAGGGTGCTTTAAGATGCAGGTTTTGGGGCTAAACACTAAAACGTGTCGTTCTACAATCTACACACGAGTGAAATGAATCTGTGATCAACAGTCTCTCTCTCTGGCTGCTGTCAGTGGTCGGCTGCCTCGCTCGCCCACTCCTCAGACCGACACATCGGTCACATGATGCTCACACACACCAAACAGCGACCGCGTGACGACGCAAACGAATCAGATTCATGAGCAAACACAGTGTCAGCGTTTGGACTCCAGTCAAGAGTTCTCAGAAGAACGTTCACACAGGTTCTGTGCAGCACCACGGTTAGAAAGACACGGATCAGAAACATCCTTTGATCAACGTGTCTCACATGAACTCACACCTGGTTCTGGTCCCTCTGGTACCTTGGTGGGCGGTTTCTGTACGACTGTGAGCTTCATTGTTCAGGTTTGTTCAGGTTTTTGACACTCTGGTCCTTTAGTACGGCCATTTGATGAAAAAAAGAAAAAACAAACAAACCTGAGACCACATGTTCAACATGTTCAGTGAAGCAACGAGTTCATACCGTCAGAGGAAATGACAAAACCTGCTCGTTAAACGCGACGGCTGCTAATTAATCTGATGACAGATGTAAAAGTTGTTCAGCTTTGTGCTCTGAGATTAGTTACTGTAAAGGTTCTGACCAAGAGAGTACTCAGAGTACACAGAGTACAAGGAGTACTCACAGAGTACACGTGAGCTGCTGTCTGGTATCATCGGGTCACTCTGCAGCATCACGACGCGTTCAGCCGCTGATGCTAAACATGGAGGCGTCATGTGACCTGTGTGACCTCAGAGAGCCTCAGATCTAATTGGATGTAGTTTAATGTAAAGATCGATGGCTCTCACCTCCAAAGACCCAAAGACCAGAACCAGAACCAGAACCAGGCTGTCTCAGTGCTCGTGTGCCAACCTGCTGTTGTGGACTTTGCGGCCAATCTGTGGTCCAGCTGAGGGTCCTGTCAGCTGATTGGCCAGGAGCCCCAGACCTGCCCACCAGCCCTTGTTGTCCCGCCTCCCAGCCTGTCTGATTGGTCCACAACCCGGTCTCCTGCTCCAACAGGCTATAAATGCACAACCAGGCCTGGTTCAGTTGGTTTGCTAAGCTAGTTCTGACTCTGTTCGCTGTCCTTCTGCTTTATTTGGTTCTCTCAGTTAGCCACACCCACCAGCCTTGTTCCTCGTTATGGCATCACGGTGCTCTGTTCACTATACTGTGAGCAAGAAACCGTTTTACCCATAACGTCTGGTTCTGTTTCTTCCATCTGATTGGTGAGGAAACCAACCATAATAACAAAAGTGTTTGGGAATAAACTGGGAAACCTGGCTGTAGCTGCCAGTGACTCACCTGTCCTGCAGGGGGAGCTGCTGCTGGGAGCAGGTGCTGCGTTCAGGTGATAGGAGAACCTCATGGTGCTGAACTGACTGGAGAAGGAGGGAGGAGGGAGGCTGAATCCAAGCAGAGCGCTGCGAGGTCGGTTCAGCTGCATGCCAACACCTGCACAGGTACGTCTGTCCACACCTGTACGCAGTCCGAGCTCAGCGTCGACTTCCTGCTCTGTGTCAGTTCATCGTCGTGTTTCGAGGGTTTTTGTTCTGGAAGCAGGAAGCTGGGTCGCATTCAGTTTGTTTGTTGTACAGCATCACGTCTCAGCTGCAGATCCCTCCTGGCTCGGTTTCTGGTCTCAGTTGGTTCCGGTTCTGGTGGACGCAGTGTGCAGGTCCTATGGGCTCCCCCTCCTTCATCCTCCCCCTCTCTCCCCCATCTCGTCGTCTTCCTGTCACTCATCCAGGAGATCGAACGTCCTCGTGTCCATCACTGTGTCCACGTCACGTCTCCACGGAAACCACCAGAGGAGTCCAGTTAAAGTGGCTTTGGGTCAGAATCAGGTCCAGATGTGGTGCCTGAAGGTTCCGTTCACGCCAACTGAGGCAAAGTCCTGAAAGTGGAACAAACTGAGGTGCAGCCTGCGGCGCCGTCTGGCAGCAGCTTCATGCAGAATGTGCAGACTCAGACTTTTCCTCAGTTTGTCCAACGGTTCTGCTCGGCCCGTCCTCGTCTCTTTGTGTGAAGCTGCTGCTGCGACCGGACTCCTCCTCCTGCAGACATCTGATCCGTCCTCCTCCTCCTCCTCCTCCGTCTGGTTCTCATTTTCTCTGGATGTTTTTTTTAGGCTGAAACTTGAAGCAGAAGGAAAACAGAGGAACTCCTGCAGGACGCTTTCTGCTCTTTTCTCCTCCTCGTGGCTAAAAGCAGCTCATGAAGCCAAACTCTGGATGTGAGGAGCCTGTCGGCCAACAGGGGGCTCCACCTCCTCCGTCTGGCCCATCTGTGCTCTGTTTGTTTCTTAGAAACATTTGACACGTGGTTCTACAGAACCTACAGAGCGTGCATGAATGTTCTGCTCTGCTGATGTCCAGAGTTCTGACGCTGTGATGCTCTGGTGTCTGGACCTCTCAGTGGTACTGTCCAGGTCTGGGGTTCTGTTCAGGTCTGTGGTCCTGTCCAGGTCTGTGGTTCTGTCCAGGTCTGGGGTTCTGTCCATGTCTGTGGTTCTGTCCAGGTTCTGTGGTTCCGTCCATGTCTGTGGTTCTGTTCAGGGCTGTGGTTCTGTCCAGGTCTGTGGTTCTGTCCAGGGCTGTGGTTCTGTCCAGATCTGTGGTTCTGTCCAGGTCTGTGGTTCTGTTCAGGGCTGTGGTTCTGTTCAGGTCTGTGGTCCTGTCCAGGGCTGTGGTTCTGTTCAGGGCTGTGGTTCTGTTCAGGTCTGTGGTTCTGTTCAGGTCTGTGGTTCTGTTCAGATCTGTGGTTCTGGTCATGTCTGTGGTTCTGTTCAGGTCTGTGGTTGTTTAAAGTGAACCAACAACAGTTTGTCATTTTAAAACTGTTTTATTGACTTTTAGAGAAACGTTCAGTTCAAATGTTTAAAAGTTGTTCAGCAGAAGATGAACTTTGCTTGATGAGCGGCTCTCAGACCTTCTGCTCCTCAGACGGTAACGAGGCTGAAGATGATGAAGAACAGAAGAGCAGAGTCAGAACAGGTCGATGAGGAGCTCTGAGCCAATCAGAGAACAGATCCACTGTTCATAACGTCAATAAAACGCTCTCAGAATGATTCAAAATTAACCGAAATGATAAATAACATAAAATCACACAAATGGAGAATAAAAGGTCCAAAAGTTCTGATGAATACGTCCAGAACAAGACGTGACTGAATGCAAAAGCCTGTTAAAGAAAAAGAATTTGTTCTTAAAAATGTACACAAATGGAAGCATGAGTTTTAATACGTATTAAACGTCCAATAATGAAAGGATGAATTCATGAACGTGAGGATGATGTAATGAANTGCTGCCCTGCACTCGGTCTCTCCTCTAATAAAAAGGACCTGGTAGCGTTCTTGAGGCTGATTCTGCTGAGATGGAAATCCTCAGCCCCACCTACTCATATGAACTGGATAAAAGAGGTGCTTCATTTTCTTAAACTAGAAAAAATCAGACTAACCCTGTCTGGATGTGAGAAGACCTTTGAAAAAACTTGGAAGCCATTTCGGTCATATGTTCAAAACACAGACTGCCATCATAATCTGGACGGAGACGCTGGGCTGAAAACCCTGCAAGAGTTTTCATTTTACTGTTTATTTATTTATCTGCTTATTTATGTTTTTATGCTCTATTTTGTTCCAGGGGAGGGATACAGGTGGGGTTGAGGGGTTTAAGTATATGTATGTATGTATATAGATGTGTGTGCATGTATATATATATATATTTGATTGTATGTGTTTGTCTTGTTCCAATTGTTAAAAATGCATTTAAAAAAAAGTTATATAAAAAAAAACAAAAAAAATATGTCTTCGCATCGGTGGGAGGACCTTCAGCGAATTTAAAATTATTTTTCTCTTACGGGGTCGTTGCTCAGACAGGACAGTGTAGAGCAGAGGGGGAAGGACCTGCAGCGAACGGCTCGCCGGCTGGACTCCTCCCGCCGCCTCGGGGACCCTAGCCCCGGTCACGGGTCGCCGGCTGGACTCCTCCCGCCNTGATGATGATGATGATGAAGATGTAATGAACTGATGAAGACGTGATGATGATGATGATGGAATGAACTGATGAAGATGTGATGATGATGATGATGATGTAATGAACTGATGAAGACGTGATGATGATGATGATGATGTAATGAACTGATGAAGATGTGATGATGATGATGATGATGTAATGAACTGATGAAGATGTGATGAGTCCTGTGGTGAAGCTGAAACGTTCATGAGACGTTAGAAATGTGTTCCATACGTTCAGTGTCCGGTTTGATCCTGAACTCTGAAACAAACATCGTCTAACCCTCTCGACCAGGTCGTCGCTGAAAATGAGAACCTGGAAGAATGCAGAACCAGGAACCGGGTCAGACCCACCGGAGCCTCCTCCACCGGGACGCTGTACACCAGAGGGGCGGGCCGGCTGGAGCGCTGCCCCGAGGCATCATGGGGAACTGCTGAGGCACTGAAGCTGCTGCTGAGGATGAAGCTGGAACCTGCAAAACAGAGAGACTGTGAGAGACGCCTCCCAGAACCGAACTATCGGACCGCTTACATAACGATTCCCTCCATGGTGACGGAGCAGCTGTTGGTCTGAAAAAAGGAAACGGTTCGTTATTGACTTCAGTGGAGAGCAGCTGCTCTAACTTCAGTCCTGCAGGGTCAGAACCTTCTGGTGGACCTCCGAGTGGACCGCCTGGTTGGACTGCTGATCCCTTGAAACAGAACAATGCACCACAGAAGAGAAGCTCAGAGTTCTAATTCACTGAAACACAACTCGCAGCAGACTTCAGAACCACTGGAACGTTTAAGCCCACAAAAGTGAGACCAGAACTGCTGATGATTGATTCATCCAGAACCAGTCCAGGTCCGTTTTCTGTGGAGCTTCATTAAAACTCAGCGGTGATGATTCAGGAGCTTCTTTAGAGTTTAACTATCAAACAGTAAATCCTGAACC